ACGCAGATGAATCAGCTTTAATAGTTGGTCCTGCAGCCCAACATTTGGGACCGCCACGCTCCAACGCCTTAAGAGCTTAAACTGTGTAGACTCCAGCAAACGTACGAGTATAAACTGTGTTAACGCCGGTCAACATGTTACAGTAAAGGTTAACACCGGTCAACGCAAAGGTCGATGCCGATCAACGCGTTACAGTAAAGATCGATGCCGGTCAACACATCAGCAATCTCATTAAAATAAGGCAAATGATGATTTCAGGGAGTTCAATCGGATTCAGATATAAATTTCTGACAAAGATGATCAGTTTAAGGTCAACTCAACGATAAGAGCTAACTTCAGAAACTTATACACCAACTTCAATTCAAGATTTTGACAACGGTCAGACGATAAACGTAGCGCCGGAAGAACTTTATCTATTCGATAAAACACTGAGTAGACTGAAGGCTGAAGAAGTCAAGAATTGAAGCAATTCATAGGTCCCTCTATGAAATTGAGGAAAAGGCCTATCTTATCCAAAGCCTTTCAGACTCTTCCATAAAAGAAATGAGTCTGAAATGCTTTGGAGAGGGTATCTGTAGACGTCTAAAAATACCTATAGGTGTCCATACACAGCTCGAGACGGAGAGAAGATAACGAACGTCGTTATCCGAGTCAAAGAGGATTATCTGTCATCGACAAGCGCATGAAACGAAACGACGAACCAAGTGGTCCGCACGTGTCAATCAGCTCGCACGCGTCGGTCAACACACGCGCGTCAATCAGCTCACACGCGTCGGTTAACACACGCACGTTAACCAACGTACGTCGATCAACACGCGCGTATAAATTAGTTGTGCGCATCAATCAACATGCGCACGTCAATCAACGCGCGTTTGACGATCAGTCCCGCAACGAAGCGTACAAGTCAACAAGACGATCAATTACGTAAAACAGTGGAGAATATAAGTCCTAAAAAACCAGAAAAAATACCAAAAGACTCAGTAAAAACGCCACAAAACACCGCGTCCGCGCGGGTCGGACCGCGTCGACCCGTGCCCGTGCGGGTCGGCCAAGTCCGACCCGCGCCGGCGGGTCGGCATCGACCGACCTACGCCCCCCGCATAGGGTTGATTCGCCCTGCGAGCAGTTTCGACCTCCGGACACGTTTTCGCTGTTTTCGATCGGTTTTTCTCAGGATTTGTTGGTTTTTGAGCATCCTAACTGATCTGATATCATCTTCAAACGTTGTTAATCAGTTATTAACTGAATATAAGGAGGAATCATTCATTCTCATCCGAAAACCCCCAACCGAAGCCTATAAATACAGGCCTAATGGCTCATTTCAAGGGGGGCGATTTATTATCAAGACGTGGAGGTGCTGCTAGATTGATGAGTCAGGGAGCACGAATTTCAGCAAAGGTAAATCAGATCTCGACGAACTCCGGCATAAAGAAGGAGCTATTCGAATGATCTGAACCCCGTCCGTCCGTTCCTTGAGATTAGGCTTGGTCTTAATTTCGAGAAGAGCCTTGATTTTGCTTGGTCGATTTTAACGCTTCAAATAAAACACTCCCTCGGTGAAGGAGAAGCTCTGCCCAATTTTTCATCAACCGGATCCAGATCTAAGGTGGTCCACGGATAAACCCCGGCACAGGCAAAGATCCCACGCAAGCAGAAGACCGATAAACGATTTCTGTGTTTGTTTGATGAGAATTGTATTTTTCATTTTTATTGTGTAAAAGTCTTATAAAAAGACTATCTTTTTGTTTTCATTGTAACGACTGAAGTTGTAATGAATACCGCAATGAATACAATAATTTTCGACGAAAACAGGTTAGTCCTACAAAACAGAATCCTTACTTAGGATAGGCTTCTTAGAAGACGGATAATTGATACAAATAGATGCTGTCTCTGTGCAGGAGCTGATTATGAGTCCAGGAATCATTTGTTTTTTGAATGTGTTTATTCTAGTGAGGTATGGAATAGCATTATGAACTGGTTAGAGTTCAACTAGAGGTCTTGTAACTGGCAACAAGTATTCCACTAGTTCACTGTCAGGCTACGAGGAAAGGGTCTCAAACAAGGCTTGAAAAGGATGGTTCTAAATGCAACTATATATAACCTATGGAGGGAGCACAATGCAAGGATTTTTCAAAATAAAGCCAGGATCCCAGAGCAATTAGTCAGGGAGATAAAAACTAAAGTTTGGATTGCTATTCTACATAAGGCAGGAGTTGATGGTGCGAGCATATTGCTGTGATATAGTGTGCAGGTTTTTTGCTTGTATAGATTTCCGACATTGAGAGTGTTATCTCAGTTTTAACTGAGCTATCTTGGTGAATATACTTTCTCATTTTGGTTGATGAATAAAATTTTTCATTTACCAAAAAAAAACTTTGCTTGTAATTAATAATAAATTTACATCTTTATATATATTTTTTCTTATCTTTATTGGTTGATAAAGATAAAGATGAAGATGAAGATGAAGACGGAGATTTGCCTTCAAGGTCTAGAACACTCTTGCAATGTAAATTTTTCTTTTTTTTTGCTTTAGATACTCATGTTTTATGATTTTATTTTCTATTTATTTTAGTAGATTATATTTATTTTGATGTATTATAGAGTATATTTACTTTCATGTTCTTTTATTATTTCCTTGAATTTTTATTTTATAGTATGAATTTATTTTCTTGTATAATTTAGATTTTTTTATACTCTTTTATTTTTGTAGTGTAGATTTATTTTTAAGTTCATAATTTATATCTTTATTTTTTTTCTAATTTTTCTCTTTGTAGTTAGTTTTTATTTTCCATTCTATTTCTTTTATTTCTTTGGTTTTAACGAATTAAAATCTTGTAAGAATTCTAGAATTGTATAAAATTAGTTTGATTTTTTTATGATTTGTGAATTAGTCCCTTATACTTAATATGATTATTGTTTAGAATAAACAACTAGAGAACTAATTGGTAGAAGAAGACTTTGATAATGTACACTTATCTTGAGTAGTTTGATAGGTTACAATTATGAATTCTAGAATTAAAATATAATTATTATTTTTATGAATGATAATTTTATTTGAATAATAATTTGATAGGTTATGCTTTTCTTAAGTGGTTTGATAGTCTATACTTAGTAAATCTTAAGTAAAATGTGATAAAAAGAGAATAGTTTGTAAATCCTAATGAAATTGTCTAGTGAATTTAAATCTATATTTCTCATTTCTCTAATTATTTTTCCCATCTTTTACTTGTGATTTTCCTCTTTATTCTTGATTTTCCTTTATTTGTTTCTTGATTTTAATTTTCTCTAATTCCTTCCTCTTTCTTTCTACACTCTTAATCTAATTTTATCTTATTTGCAAATAATCACACTTTTCTCACATCTCTTCACATCTATATTACCACTCTTAATTGTCAACACGTACAACTTAGAAATTAATTTGGATTATTTCCTACAACACCTTCGTCAAGGAATCAACATCTTATATACTATAACTTGACAGTTATGCACTTGCAGCTTTGTTTTATTTATTTCCTATCATGGTCTCCCTAACTCACTTTTCATCTTCCTACCGTTAGTGTTGTACTTTGATGAAAGTGGTGGAAGGTGAGGTGGGAGGCTAGAAAGGAAGTACACGGCTAAGGATGCCGTTTGCGAACGAGTCAAGCTATTATTAGAGAGATTAAGCTATCCTTTGGGAGGATGTATCCAGCTGAGCTTGAGCGACATAGCCAAGTCTGAAAGCCTGGGAGTGTGTGAGTTAGGGATTAGAGGGCTATTAGAATCTGCCATTTCTTTCAAGGGAAGAAGAAGTGAGCCCCACTGTAGGCACCAAATTGTTTATGCCAGAAAGTTAAATGTATGGGTGAATGGATATTGGGAGGATTTTAGGGTCCATATACCTTCTTTAGTGACTTATTAATCAAGAGGAAGTAGATTCCTCCACAAGTAACACTCATTAGCGAGCTAGAGTAGATTTTTCCTTATATGCCTTCCGACATCTAAGTCAATGATAGATTAAGCAAGCTTGTAAAATATGCAGAACCTAGCTTTATGGTTTTTTCGGGCCTACCTTTCTTATAGTGGGTTGTCCACAATTTATAGAGAATTTTTGGGGGCACGTTGGTAATTTGACCTAGTCGATATAGTCAGTCGGTCAGACTACACTTTACATGTCTCAACGTTCTCTGAGGAGTCATTATGATTTCAGCTCGAGCATGCACTAAATATGATAGACACTAGGCGGTGAAGCTGATTGGTTATGTTATTGTTTGAGAAGTCTGAGTAGAAGACACCTTTCGTCTTAGATTTAGATTTCTACCGCATCCCGGTGTGAGGACGTTTTTTTTGTCTTGGACTCAAACCGCTAAAGAAACCAGTGGTACTCTTACTATGGTCGGGCTTTCATGTTATAGGACTCAATCTATTAATTGTGACATGTGGTCAGCTCTCAGAAGCTCATTAGACTCGGTAATTTCTCAGGATACAAAATTACTAACAAAAATAAAGAAATTGGACAAAATAAGTTGTTGCTAGACTATGCGATCTCCTTCAGATCTCATAAACAAATAGCTTAATCACCCTTATTAACATTTTATCTGCCTCTACTCTATACATTATGCAACGATTCTTCTAACCCATGCATAATCCTTTCAAACATCCAAAATACAAAACAAAAAACCTAAAATTATTCAAAATACACAATATTACGTGCATCCAACACCCTTCACTTAATATTCTCCCTATTCTCCACTGGAGAACCTGAAGCACTCTTCGAACCACTAGACAACCCCAACGTAGGGTGCGTAAACGCCAAGCTCCCTTGTTGCGGGTTCGAACCCGGCCCGCATCCATTAACATTCTCTCTCGTACCTGATCCGGCTGCCGCCAAGGCTGACTGAAAACTCGGGTCGGATGTGATTGCCTTAGCAATTGTGTCGGTTAATACTTGCTGTTTAGGTGCACCAACTTTTTGTTGTAGGTAAGATTGGTATCCGATGTTTGGGATTTTACTATATGGGTTCTGGTCTACATAGCTCAAGTATGATCCATTTGTACTCCAAGATGTGCTAGACTCTAAACTACTAGAGAAGTTTAAGCTCGTTGAGTATCTAGGAACTGAGGCGCTAAAATTTGATGGGGAGAATCTAGTGTTGAATTGTGATGGTAGTTGAGAGGTTGTTTGTGGGGGTGAGGTGAGGTCTAGGGTAATAGTAGGGTAAGAGGGGGTAGATGATATTGTAGGGTTTGGGAGGTAAAAAGGACGGTTTCGGGAATTTGAATCTGATAAGTTGAAATTTAACGCGTGGAGGTTTGCGGTTGAGGAGGAGAGGGAGGAAGCTCCAACAGAGGAAGGCGGGGATCCGATGTGGGAGGAGCGGGAGGTGGAGGAGCCGGATGGCAGTGGCCGAGATTGGGAGGGGGTGGTTGTGTGTGCCTTCATAGGTTGTGATTAGGATTGACATGTCCTCGGCGCATCTTTGAACCTGTAAAAAAACATTGGACGGGAAATTAATTAAAAATAAACTTTACAATTTAAAACGTGATTATTATCGAACTGACAAGTCATAAAAGATTAAATTTACGTGCTTAATCAGATAGTTAATCAGGTGTTATAGTTAGATTAGTATTACTAATTAATTAAGGGAGAGAACTTGATATAATATTCACACTTGCCTAGTTACGGCCTTCAAAATATACATATCTATATAAACATACATTTTGGAGTTGAATTCAAAATTTAAGATAATTAAACCGCCATGAGTTGGATCACTTTGACTTGTATAGTTTATATTAGTTTATGAATATAACTCTCAAATTTCAAGTATATGATGTACAGCAGAAAACAATTAGCACGACACTCCACTATTTTTCAAAAAGGAAAGAATATCTTCTATCACTCAATTCATTTATTTTATTCATTTTATTACTATTATTTTTATTTTATTTTTTTGTTTTTGGCGAGGGAATCTATCACTCAATTCAACTATTACATAAATCATGGGGAAAGGTTACACATTCAACCCTCATTGTCAACATGTTTATAAAAGAACATCAAGGATGCAATAACTTACTTTAAACAAAGTACTAAATGAATTCACAGAGTAGAAACATAAAATCCAATTCAAACAAAGTAAATGAATTATCTGCAACCAGCAAATTTTTCCAATATACATATTTAATAATATTAATCCAATGAGCCAGTTGATAAATATTTCGATAATTTTTAATTAATCAATATCACTAACCCTATATATGATACTAAGGTTTTAAAAGATTAATACCTGTTTTCTCACTGGGCATGCTGGAGCAACTGTACACCTATAGTAAGCCCTAGGGCAAGGATTCCCTTTGGCAATCTTCTGCCCATATTTTCTCCACTGACATCCATCATGCATCTGCACACAGCCAATAAATGCTCAGCAACACTCACCATTAACAATCATAGTTAACTCCATAGCTCCCATAAAAAGATTCAATGATTAATTACTTTCAGGCACCCTGAACTAGGGTGAAATTATACAGGTGAGTCTAGAGTCTGCTCATCTATATGGGTATTCTGGATATTGCTGATTGAATTACGCACATCACTCTCGAATCTATTTATTTGTGCCTAAGAATGTTAGAGTTACCATGTAGATATGTAGATTCCTGGTTCGACCTGCATAATTATACTATGGTTCAGGATATAACTAGTCCAATGTTCAAATTAGCACTAACCGTGGGAGCATCACACCGAGCCCTAACAGAAACCCTCGTCTTCTTGACATGGGCCTGTTGTAAACCCTCCTCGACATCCGCTCCATTCCTCAAACTCTTCAGTATTTTGCTTGGAGGCCACGGCTCTCCTGGTTCTTCCTCCTTCCCCTGATCATTATCAACGCTATTACTCGGGCTCATGTTACTCGATACAGGTTCATTTGGGCTATTGGTAAGCCCAAGAGTGAGTCCTTCTTCGATCTGCTCAGTGCTCTTCCGCTTACTTGTTACCTTCTCTTCTTTCTTGTTCAAGCTTGAAGATGTGCCGAGGCTGAGAGAGACTAATTCAGGCTCTTCAGTGTATGTTGAGGCTGGTGGTGGTGGTGGCGGAGGTGGAGGTTCTGATGGCTTTTTCGCCTGTTCTTGTTGAACAATATCGAAGAAATGCATCTGAAGAGATTGATAATCTTTGACTATTTTTGCTAAGAGTGCCTTGAGTCTTTCATTCTCTTCTCTTACTTCTCCCATTTCTGCTTTGGTTGATTCAAGCTGCAGTTCCTCCTATACGTATAATGATCATCACAATATTTACACTTTAGAGAGGTGTATTAATATATCCATGAATCTTGATTTAAATTTTTTTAACTATTCCAATATTTTTTTAATGAAATACAGGAGACAATTCTAACCTGCAGATTGATTGCAGTATCGGATTCCTTGGGGTTTGTAGGAGATAGTCTTGAGGATGTGCCTGTGGATGATCTTTCACTTGCGATCGCTGTGGAGACCTGTTATACATCTTCTTTTAGATAAGTATGAAAAAAGTAAATATTATGAAAATTAATAAAATGTGCGGTTATTTCTACTTATGAAATATGAATGGGAACCATGAGATGGGATAAAAAATATATAATAGAAGACAGCTCCATCTGAATTTGATTATTATGTGCTTAATGTAATATGAAAGGGGAAAATACACCATGTTGGGAAAATTCAGATCTTGAAGTAGATTATCACTTCTTAGAGAAATAAAATAAATGCGTGATATGAATAATATGATTGAGCATGTCAAATTATCAGATATAACATTTGTTAATTTGTTAATTAATTGTGAGCACTTATCTTTGGAATCAATTAGCACATATTCTTATAATTCATATACATCAGAGAACTTAATCTCAAGAAACTTAACTATTCATACTTAACAACTTCATATTTTGCAGGAAGTCCTCATAATTAATTATTTTACTATCAATATGAGATTTCATGAACTTGACCAGAATTTCTAACTGAAATTGTATAATCAATCATACCTATTGCGGGGGCAAAAAAAAAAAGAATAAAAACGGACGATGAGGAAGAAGAGTAGGAGGAGGAGGAAAAAGGAACCTCATGGATAATTAAGATATCATGAAAGTTCAATTAAAAGTATTTTAATACAATGAAAATAGTTTTTTCCCCCAAAGAAAATTATGAATCTTGTTTCACTTATGCTTTTTCCAATTCATTAATTTTGCACCATATTTTCATACCTGATTTGTAGTGCTTGAATCTTTTCGATTCGGAGAAGACGACTTGAAAGAACCTTCTGCTATTTTCTTCTCATTTCCAATCTACAAAATCAAACACAAAGATTTTTCTAAGATAATATTGTTCAACCTTTAGCAATATATTCAACATGTTCATATTACTCCTTCAAATTAAAAACAAGTAGCCAATTCTCAACATCAAGTTCCCTTGTCTCTTCCAAATGAAAGTCATAGGTTTTAGTCAAAAATTTCATGTGATTATGACTCATAATAGGAAAACATGAAATTCATTTTGTACAAAAGTTTTGCAGAACTGTAAATAGAGAAAATTGTGTAAGATGAAGATGAAACCAAACCTTTTCAACCTCTTCAACACTAACACATGGTGATGACTCCATCCTTCTTTCCACTTTAACACTTGTCCTTTTTGGCACAACCTCCATCTAAAACCCAAAAGGATAAATCGAGTTCCTTTCTAGTACGAGTCACTGCTATGTGTTCCTTTCGTCTCCCTTTATGCCCCTCAAACTCCCTCTTCTTATAACACCTCGGTCTTACTCTATCTAGATTTCTTTATCCAAATTCAAACCCCATAGGCTAATTTCTATTCGTCCATTCCAATCAAAAATGTCAACTCTTACTATTAGCCAACCCATTTCAAGAAGCGAATAGTTTGAAATAAACAAATTAAAAAAGAATAAATTTTCAAAATAAACCCATTTTATTTTTTATTAAAAAATTCGACCCATTCTCATTTTATTTATCAAAATCGACCCATTTCGTGGCCACGTCAGCAGCGTGGCCACGAAATGGGTCGATTTTTTTTAATGACGCCGTTAAATAGTCGGGGTTGTCAACCCCAACTATTTAGCTATATACAAGCTAAAATTATCGGGGTTGCCAAACCCGGCTAATTTAGGACCCTGTCTAATTGGTCGGGGTTGACAACCCCGACCATATGACAGAGAGGTAGCTGAGGTAAATTTTCCTACCACAAAATGGTCGGGTTTGGGAACCGCACCATATGACAGAGAGGTAGCTGAGGTAAATTTTCCTACCACAAAATGGTCGGGTTTGGGAACCGCGATCGTTTCATGTACGTGCACAAAATGGTCGGGGTTCCCAACCCCGACCATTTGGCAGACTCTACTACTATATAATTTCAGCTGGAAATTCAAACTCTTGCTATTACATATCAATCCACAATAGAATCACAATCACAATCACAATAACACACATACCAATCAATAATCTCAAATAAAAACCCATAATCAATCGAATACATACCATGCAATTCACATACTAATAATCAATACTCAATCGAATACATAATATTTAGTTTCAAACGCAAACATCCTATCAATACTCAATCAGATACATAATATTCAGTTTCAATCGGATACAACTCCCTTTCCTCTCCCTCTCCCTCTCACGTTGACCTTCGACGTGAGCTCGGATGAGTTCCTCATCCGCCTTCGATGTGAGCTCGGATGAGTTCCACGTCCGGTTGTGTGTGAAATTGGGAGTGCATGACATCCTCATCGACTCGAACCGACTGTGAACATCCGGCTTGAGCCTGTTGTGAGCCCCAGCTTCATCATGTGCACCGCTTGAGCCTGCCCCCATGTGTCCTCGGAACCGGCGACGACCGTACTCAATTGATCGCTCCTCACGTCCATCACGTCTTGCATTACGCATCCTCTGAAGAGCGGACCAGATCTTTTTGATCATGCGAATGAACGTGTTCCTCGGCCCTGGCTCGATAGTCATTCGGATTGCATCATGCGCCATAGTAGAAAGTTCTTCGAGCTCTTGTACCTATAAGATAAAAACCCCAAGAAAGCTATTACGATTTGGATGATAATAAAATAAAACTCACAAGATAACTGTATATTTTGCTTATACACTTACCAAATCTCTCTCAACTGGGCCTCTTAGTATGTACTCCTTAGGGGCTTTGCTCTCCTGAAATATCCACCGGCGAGTAATTCCCCAATACCACCGTAAATAACACCTAGGTCAGGTGCGTCGGCCCTCTCCATCACCAATCGTTCTTTCCTGTTATCCCACCTCCTGATATAAGCACGGTGAATATGTTCTCAATCTTGACGATGTGCACCTTTTCTGGGATTTCTCTCTATTATCTCCACAGGGACAGCGATATGTTGTTGTAGCCCAAATTGTCAGAGCACATGGTCGGGCACGTGCATCTCGACAATCTCAAAACATATGATCGGAACGCGAGCACGCCACACATCCGGCTCTTCTCTGCATATATCTGGTAGTGACTCTAAAACTTGTTCATATGGCATCCACTTGACCTATAAAAAGATAAAGTAAAACAGATTTTAGTAATAAATGGTATCGTGGCCTTTATATAGGGGCGGGCCCAGTTAACAAATAGTCGGGGTTGTGAACCCCGACTATTGTCCTTAGCCGTTTTCACCACTCGGCAACTGGGCCAGAGGTCTCTGCCATATGGTCGGGTTTAGGAACCCTGACCATTTCGAAATGGGCTTACGAATTGGTTGGGTTTGCCAACCCCGACCAATTAAACAGGGTCCTAAATTAGTCAGGATTGGAAACCTCGACTATTTTAGCTGGCACGTAGCTAAATAGTCGGGGTTGGCAACCCCGACTATTTAGTGGCGTCATTAAAAAAAATCGACCCATTTCGTGGCCACGTCGCTGACGTGGCCACGAAATGGGTTGATTTTGATAAATAAAATGAGAATGTGTCGAATTTTTTAATAAAAAAATAAAATGAGTTTATTTTGAAAATTTGTTCAATTAAAAAAAAATTAATAGCAGATACACTCTTGTACAATGAGGGTGTGCCAACTTACACCCTGTAAACTATTTCATTATCACTTCCATACCTTGATTCTCAAACGCGTAACTTACCTTTTCCACTTAAACTGGAGGCAAATGATATTTATACTTGCGTGATTTTCATAAGACTTTGAAAAGATGATGTCATCTATATTTCCGGAAATCTAAGTTCTAAGAAAATAATTGAGAATATATAACTGAGTGCTAGATACATGATCATATATAGTATAGAAAATGTATCTTCGAATTTTAGAATAAGATTTTTCCAAAGAGTTTCAAACGTATGATCGACAAGTCATTCAGAGCGCTTATAGCCGCACTCCCCGGGGACTTCATCATCCTCCTTTGAAATTTCTTCCACACGCCAACTTAAACTTATTGTCACGTGGGCTTGATCCATTGCCGGTCAACCCCGGCCAGCTTTGCCGTCGTCAGATTGCGGTGTGTGGCCCCACCGTCTCCGACCGATGGGACCACTGGGTCATGATCCGAGATCCAAGATCTAAGGTCTCTTCTTCATTAATGAGGTTTAGAGTTTGTTAGTTTATTAGGTAGCACATGATTGTATTTAGTAGTTATATATCAAAACAAAGACTTGTGTTGACTGAACATTATAGGTTTTATCCATTTTGACCCTTTAGATATGTATTTTTAGCATATTCACTCTTTTATTTTGCAAATATGGTAATATATCATTTCTACTTACATATGCCCCCAATCTTTGAGATTGTGAGTTGATAGACCATTGCAAGGGTTGTTTGGTAGGGAGGAAACATGAAATGCTTCTATAGCAACCTACATTGTAATTGGAAAGAGGTAATTACTTCACAACTTGCAATTACAGTAAATGTTGCAACTTATAACTTGGCAAGAGTAAAAGCTGCATGTTTTCAGAAAGGAAAATAAAAAAAATTAAAGAGTAAAGATCGACTTAATAAAAGTACTTTTTCAATTCAGTCCGGATAAAACCCTGTACCTCTAACTATTATAAATCATGTCGTCTGCAGACTATATATTTTCAACCAAACAACATAAACTTATGTAGAGAAATTTTGTTTGTAGAAGGACTTGGTAAATAAGAAATATAAACTTACTTACAAAAAAAAATGAATTTATGCTAGAAAGATATTTTCCACAATAATTGTACATATCCATGCAAATTAACAATGGGTTCAAATTTTATTTTTAAGTGTATATAAGAACAATTAAAATGAAAGACAAATTGGTTTGGATATATGCAATTTACAACGAGTATGCCCTTTCTGGGGGATCACTCACACAAAAATTTAATTTTTTAGAATACCCGAGACCATGCATTGGGAGGGTGCTCTTAACCACACCCGAGGGTTTCATACCCATATATGGTCTGAAGAGAATGAGGAAGTTCTCATATCGAACAAATAATAATAATAATAATAAAGTTAATCACAACAAGATACAAAATTTGAAGCTATAATGTAGTAAAATGAGAAAATTATCCAGTGTTATAGTCTTCCTCTATAATTTGTATATGTGAAATCAAATCATTAATAATTTATAAGAAGTAGAGGAGTGTGTATTATAAAAGATTTGCTGAGGTCTTCGAGATTCCGACCACCGGTATCCGGTGAGCCTACTGTTCTCTAGATAGAGACAGTTCCTATATTATAGCGTTTTTTTTTATTTGCAATGTCTTTTATTTTTATTTTTATTCAATTATTTCATAAAATTTCATAGTTTTTAGATCCCAATGCGTTGAAGTATCGGTTGGCCAACCCAGTTGGAGATTCCCAATTTAAAATTTTAATTACAATAAATTAAGTTTTATTTTCTTCAACTTTGACGAAAATGAACTCACAACTATTTTTCATCCTGAAATGCCCTTATTAGTGTATTCCTTGGGATTATAAAGTTTCAACGTTCATCAAATATATATATTTTTTAAGATGAGGTTATTGCGGCTATAGTTTATATTTATAAGCGCGGTCTGTGCGCCGCTTTATTCGTCAATTGGGCTTGCCGTGTCCAATCCAAGAGACTTCTCAGTATAATTTTCCTAAGTTCTATGACTATCTTTTTTGGATATGTGACAAATTAATTGGGATTTTATAGGGGTAGTTTGAGAAATTGCGCAACTAAAAGTATCTTTCACTTGCATCATTAGTGACTTTAACGGGGAAAATCATACTCCCTTTAAAAGCACGAGTTAGGAAAAATCTTTTTTAGACAAATATATCCCTATAAAGTTTGAACTACCCTATCTATAATCACTAAACTTTAAATTTCATTTTATTTAATATTTTAGTCCACTTTAACTATTATCTGTAGACTCCATAACATGTTCAAAAACCCATAATAAATTTAAAAACTTTATATGTAAATCCCCGCCTTCTTATCCATAGGCTCTAAATTAAACATACCATGTTACATTATAAATATGACCCCGATTGAACTTCTTATCATGTTACATTAGTTTTTAAATACCATGTTACCTTCTTATCCCCGATTGAACTTTAATTTATTATAATATGAGTATCAGTTTAGTATTCTTTTTTATTTTCATGATTATTCTTTAAAAATATTTTGTATTTGATTTAATGGTGATATTTGTTTTACACTGCAATTATTATTTATGGCAATTGATTTTTTTATTTCTTCATTTTTCATACAGAATTTAGAGGGT